ATCTTTATAACATGAACCAATTTGTCAGCAAACTACTGTGTGGCCTGATTCGCGGTTGCACGGAGAGCCAGGCTAGGAGAAAGGAGTATTATTTTGCCACTAGTTTAAGCATCATTCTTTTTAGAGGAATATAAACATCCTGTGTAGAGCTGGCTCATTAGACACTTGCCCAGTGGCGTTATTGTTTTAATTAAATAACTGCCCAGGAGGAGCTGAGTTTCCAGTAATAATAATACTTTGCCCTCCTTATACCACCTTCCCTCTGAGGATCTCCATGTGCTTTACAAACACGAGTGAACTAATCTCATCCCTCATGTGAAATAAATCAGTTATTCATTCTCTACAGACAGGGAAACTGAGGCATAAAGAGCTTCAGTGACTGGCCCCAAGGTACCTTGGCTACTGGTTCCTAGTCAGGTTAGGAAGCTCCTGGTCATCTGCCTTAACCATAAGGCCATAAAGTCAGTGTGAGTAAACTGATAGCTCTCACCTCTAAACCCAGCAGGTGCTTCGTGGAGATCTACACAGGATGACGAGAGGTCACGTCCACCTGCCTTCATATTCTGTTACTAAGCTAAGCTTTCTAGTTGTCGTGAATCCTGGCCCACTTTCCGGAAACCATGGTTGAGTTGTAGGCATAGGTGCTGAAACTAGGGGTGCTGGGGATACAGCAACACCCCCTGGCTTGAAGTGGTTTCCACCATATCCAGGGTTTACAGTTTGGTTCAATAGCTGTCAGCACCCCACTTTACAAGTTGTTCCAGCACTCCTAGTTGTGGGTATTGGGGAGGGATTTACAGTTTGTCAGAATTCCCGCCTCCTGATCCACCATGACCTAACCTGCATGACAGTAGACAGCTGTAGTTGTGGGGTCAAGTTCCACACCAGGACTCAAGATCTTACACGGTATTGTTCATGAGACGGCTGGAGTACTTAGGGTGACCAAATGTCCCGATTTTGGGGTCTTTTTCTTATATAGGCTTCTATTACCCCTGACCCCCTGTCCCGATTTTTCACACTTGCTGTCTACTCACCCTAGAGTACTGCATGGAAGGCATCAAGTCAAGACCCCTTTGTGATTGCCACAAATGCACCAATAAGACAGATCTGTCATGATGTACCATTTTGGGGTATGTGCACACAGCACTGCCCTCTACTGAATGGAATCAAACCTGCTTAACTCTCTAGCATTCTTGCCCTCCAATAGTTGCAGTGTACAAAAAAGATCATACGATTTTTTTACTCGTGATAATTAAGCGAAGAGTCAGTGTTTTTAGAGCAGAAAGTTGTGAGTTCTGTTCCCCACACTATATGGGCTAAAGCAGATGTTTGTGTTCTAAGTATATGCATGGTTGTGTATCAGAGGGCTATGTGTTTGTGAGCAGAGCTTGCCATGTGCCTTGCTGGGTGCAGACACATTCTGACAGCTATGTGTATCCACATCTTCACTTGTTTCATCAGCTCACCTTTGCAAGCTATGAATAAGGACAGGAGATTACTATGGTATGTAAAGTAAGTCTCTTGGCTACACTTCTTCACCCATTTTTTAATGTTCTCTGTGTTATATATATATATATTCCTACTGTATTCTCCACTGCATGCATCCGATGAAGTGGGTTTTAGCCCACGAACGCTTATGCCCAAATAAATGTGTTCATCTCTAAGGTGCCACAAGGACTCCTCGTTCTTTTCACTGCTACAGACTAACACGACTACCACTCTGAAACTTCTTCAGCAGGGACTCTGGCTGCTGAGATGGGATTCACTGAGAACCCAGCTGCAGCCTGACAGCTCTGGAGTGCATTGTATGGGATGGCTGTGCTTTTCCTCCTCCCTGTATTGATTAGTTTGACATTTTGGTTTTTATTCCATTCCATGTTTAATGTGCTGCCTAGCATTGCTCAGGCTCTGTTTATTGAAATACTCCGTTAAATCCAGGTACCCTCGTAGCCTGAAACGTGAAATACATAGAGTTTTTCCTCTAAAGTATAGTTTATGCAAATAATTCCCTCTCTGCATCCCTACGCTAGTCAGGCTCTGCATATCTGATTGGGCTTTTAATGACTTTTGGGAATCATTTAAATAGCTAGCTGACTGGCCCAGTTAATAATCAAAGCCGCAGCTCCTGGTAGTAGAAGTGATGGATGGTACAACCAAACTGCCTCTCTGCACCAGTCCCTGGTTATTCCCAAACCCATGTTTGTCCATGGACCAATTTTGCACTTTGCAGAAAATTGCCATGATATTGTCAGATGTCCCCCAGTAGTAACGAGACACACACATTAATACACTGTGCAGACTGCTAGCCTGTTTTCTCTGTGTCTTGTCCTATCTCAGGCTGTGAGGTTATTGGATCATGTAAGTTAAGCAGTGCTGGGACCAGGTGCTGCATCAGAGAGTGTTCAGTAGGTCGTACACTTTCCACTGTATGATAGCCCACTTATGGCGTTTTGGTGCTATGTTGGTGGAAATGCCATTTTTAGATGAGTCACAAGACAGAGGCCCTACCCACTCGTGGTTACTAGTTGATCTCATGGCATCCTTTCACAAGTGTATGTGAACTGGGCGTAATTGGTCCACTGTCTGCCTGAGTCTACAGAGAACCCGAAACAATTACTCTGAGATATGTGAACTCCTCCAGGGACCTCCATAGGGTGTTAACTCCTGGACCCATTGCTTTGTGGGGCACCAGGGACACCAAGACCACCCTTTGTGTGACCAGAGTCAAAGAGTGAAGTGAGCATCCCCCACCCATCAACACTGGCTGCTGGGCTAAGTAAAGAGAAGTCATGTGCTGCCATCCCTGCCTCTCTTGGGGTTACAGGGGACCTCTGCTGCTCCTGAGGGTAAGGAGGCCTTGTTGCCCCTCCTGTGGGTTGGAGAAGACCCTATGTCACTCCCCCTTCCTTTCTAAGAGGGGAGTGCTACAGTGATGTGTTTGTATGAAAACCTATATAGATAAGTCTGTAATACACCATATATGGAGTTCAATTACCCATTGCTGAAATGCAGCTACCTGTAGGCCAGAGTGGGGCAGCCATTTTGCACCAGCATTATTGCCCATTAGTTCAGCGCAGGGAATGAAGCAGGGGACAGCATCTCCAACTGAAACAACAAGGGGAACTTGGGGTGCTAGCTGATAACTACTCAAGTCAGAATTCAGCCACACAGAGAAACCAGGGCTGATGCTTTGGCTCATGCAGAAATTACCGTGCTTCTTTTCATCCGCTGCAGGTGGTTGGGGTTCTGTGTCTCATCTAAAAGCCAATGGAGCCTAAATCCACTGATGTTAGTATTCTCTCCCCTGTCACCCTTCCATCAAACCTATGAACCCTCTAGGTCCAGCCAAAGCCCCTTCCTTTCACCCGTGTGACTCTTCCTCGATGCCAAGATGTAGTTCAGTCCGGGCTGATGTCATTTCCTTTCACTTAGTTGGACGATTTGGGCAGAGTTGCCTAAAACCACAAAACACTGCTTTGAAGTTCTTTCTCTCTCCTATTTTTTCCCTGCATATGAAATGCAGACTCGTGTGCATGTTAATAGATGGCTGCTCCAAGCCAAAGGCTTTTCATGGGAGGTATGTGCGGAAGCAGCCCTGTCTGCCTCCCTCCAGAACTGCTCTTTACTCAACTTTAGCAGTAATATTGTGTGTAATGGTTTCACCAAGCTGTTGTTGTCTGTGTTTCTGAAACACCCTGCTTAATTCACACTCATTGCATTTGAATAGAAAACTTCCTTATCGTTCCAGGGCAAGTGAAGAGAAGCAATACCCAGGGTGTAATTACCATGTTTGTTAAACAGGATCCATTTAAAGCCGTCGAAAGAGCCAACCTCGTCCTCCTTCCAAATTAGTTCTCTCCTTTTAAAGTGAAGGTTTATGCTGCTGAGAGCTGACTGGGAGGCCCTCGTTGACGGGGAGAGTGTGGTCGCTGGCAAATGTGGTGCTGCTTGTCAACAGCTCCTGTTTTTCTCAGCTCTGCTTTTAAGACCCAGGACAGGGCTTCTCTCCCCTCTTCTCACAGCATCTGAGGGGTCAACGCTCCTCACTGTGGTCAAGACTTGGAGAGCTGCTCTAGTCACCGTGTGCTGCAAGCCAAAAGAAGTACCCTGAATTTCCCACTTCTGTAATCTTTTGATATGGCCTTCACATCCAGCTCCTCTGCGAGTTTGAGGGAGAAGGGTCACCCCACACATGGGAGTTCACCTCTGGTGGGAAAGCTGTTACCTGGAGCTTGATGAGGACAGGACTTGCTCCCAGTCTACTGCTTGTTCAGCTGTAGATCAAGTCAGGCTGGGAAATTCAGTCTTTGTAAAGATGGTCATTATACCAGGGGCCTCTTTCCCTGGTTGGGGAATGCTGAGAAATGGGAGGCGTCTGGGTTCCTTTATAAACAAGATCTCCCATGCCCATGAGAGCAGAGTGATATTAAGGGGGAGACAATGGAAAATTGCTTTCATCTGACATCCACAGAAACCTATAGTGGTAAAGCTGGGGGGAGGCTTTCGGAGTGGCCTCCATTTTGCTTGTCTGGATGGTTATTGCAGTGTTTGCTTCACTGGTTTTATTTTAATGATGTATTTTGCACCGTTTACTGTTTTATTCAGGTTTGGGTACTGCCCTCATTTGTAGTTACTCCAAGTCTGGATTCTTGTTTGACCTTACCAGCCCAATCATGGTCCCAGTGTTCTTTTAGCCACCACAAGCCCAGGGACTGAAGTCCCCTGTCCATCCCCAGAACAGGTACAGCATGGGCAGCAGCAGGGTGAGCTCTGTCACCTCCCATTGTGACTCTGTATTGACCTAGGTTGCTCACCTGATGGAAGGAGAGGTAAGTTTGTGCCCATTCGTTCCTTGTCCTCTCTAGTGAGTCTCCTAACAAGGCTGCTGGTTAGCGCTTGTACCTTGGAAAGAGGGCACTGGTTCACTAGGAAATGGACCAACTCTCATTTCACATAGTCAATCAAACAGCCTCCTAATGGCTTCTCGAATTGTCTTTCAGTACCACGGGACTGAACATCTCTACAAAGGAGAAGTTTCACATCTGAGATGAAAGTCCAGTGGAGAGGACAGGACCAAGTGATCTCTCTCCGCCCTGGTCACCATAGCAGAAGGTGACGTACTTGTGAAAGTGCATGTGCAAGTTCAAATAAATGTCATGTCTACTGGCAGGTCCAGTAGATCAATTTGGCAGGTCTGTCTCTTTGCAGAGTATAGTAGCATATGTGTATGTCTCTCTCTGATGCTATCATGTCCCAAGCTGTTTTGTAATTTGGTTGACAGATGCAGTCACTATTTATAATTACTTATTTAAGCAACAGTAAAATCAAGTGACTTACTAACTGTATCCAAACTGCTGACCTTAATGTATTTTAAAAGTTCATCGGATATTGAACCTCAAATGACCCATGGATGGATCTGGAATAACAATTTTCCTAATCCTCAAGTCATTATCTTAAAAGGAACGCATTGTTCTCCTAATTAAGTCCATCCACATGCTGTGCATCCTCCATGCAAATGCACTGTGCATAAACTAATTAAAGGAAATATACAGCCACAAGGACTCAAACTGTCTTTTATGCTACTTTTTTTTTTTTTTGTAATTATAGGGAATCTCCTCCCTCCCCCACAGACATAGGCTGCAGTGAAGAATAATATCCCAACCCGCAACGAAAACCAGTGAGCAGTTGTGGATCAGCGTTTGCAATGGCCAGAACTTTATTATTAATTATTTGGGGTATGTTGTGCCTAGAAGCCCCAGCTGAGATCCGGATCCCTGTGTACATACATGTAGTCCCTGCCCTGAAGAGCTTACAAACTGAACAGATAAAACGGACAAAAGAAGTTATACTGTCCCTGTTCTATGGATGAGGAAGTGAGGCATGGAGGGGTTCGGTGACTTTCCCCAGGTCACACAGGGAAGAAGTATGTGGCAGAGCTGGGAATGGAACTTGGGTACCTTCCTCTCAATTTTAATAACAGGCCCACGAGGCCTTACAAGTCTAGACATAGCAGCAGCAGTGGAGAAATTCCACTACAATACTCACTGGAACCAAACATTGACTAGTTGGTGGGAGAGTGGATGGGCATGGTGGGTTCCTGGTGTCTACTATATCTCATGTTCTGTTTGTGTCGTGCATAGAGAGAAATGGGATTCCCATAAACTGACAATGCCACTGTGACACCCTGGCACCCCCTTATTTACCACTATCCTGTAATTAGGTTATGTTTTGTACAGAGTATGCCTTGTGAGGTCTCATTCTAAAAGTATTGATCTGCTAGACATTAATATCTCATTGGATTGTATGTGCTATCGTCGTATGTGAAGTTATGAAGTTTGGCTATGTATGTGTTACTGAAACATGTGAGGTTGAAAACACCCACAAGCAGCCTTTCAGGTACAACAGTAAAAAGGCCAAACAATGTTAGTGGCTTATTGAGGAAATGCACAGGAGCACAAGGATTACCCTAGGAACTGTGTGCAATAGAAACCTCTCAGAGATAGCTCTACACAATGGGAACCGTTTGACCCAGGTCACAGCAAAAGAGCTTTCCAGCAAGTGGGGAGAAGATATAAAAGGGGGCAATGATACCATGCTGGTACGTCACTCTCCCTACAACACACCTGGAAAACCCTGAGGAACAAAGACTGAACTGGGGGAAGTGATGGTCCCAGGCTAAAGGGATTTCTAGCCTGTGTTATGAAAACCTGGGAAATCCAAGCTGCAAAGCAAAGGCAGCTTGTGCCTTAAGAATCCGCCAGCCTGTTTATCACTCAGGGTGAGAATTTGCTAATTTATCTCCTACCTATCTAGTATGTTAATCTCAGTTTGTGGTTTTGTTTATTTACTAGGTAATCTGCTTTGATCTGTTTGCTATCACTTATAATCACTTAGAATCTATCTTTTTGTAGTTAATAAACTTATTTTGTTTTATTCCAAACCAGTGTGCATTTGACTAAGGTGTCTGGGGAAAATCTCAGCTTGGTTACTACAAGTGTGCATGGTCCTCTTCACATTGAGGGAGAGGCTGACTGGTTATTAAACCCATATACTGGCCAGATTTGACCAGGGCAGGATGGTACTGCTCTGGGGTCCTAGGCTGGGAGGCTGGTGGTTCGGGAGCCTGCATGTAACTGCAGCTGGGTGTGTCCCTACCTGTGTGAATGCTGGTGAAAGTGCAGGCTTGAAGGGCTTTTCAGCTTGTCACAACAGCACAGTGTGAGAGGGTGCCCAGGCTGGTGGGTCAGAGGGCTCAGAGGTACCCCAGTTCCAGGTGGCACCCTGGGGGGAACCTGTCACAAGCATGTTTTAAGGATAATCAAGCCCCCCTCTTATTACCCATTAGGGTGAATTCTGAAATCACCCTCAGGGCAAATGTTCAGCCCTGGCCTCTGTTTTTTATTTGTTTTTTGTTTTTGCCCCAGCATGGCATATAGGCATAGATTTTAAGGCCAGAAGTGACCATTAGATCATCTGTTCTGATCTCTTCTATATCACAGACCATTAAATTTCATTCATTTACCCCTTTATTGATCCCAGTAACTTGTGTTTGACCAAAGCAGTAAAGTCTTGTGACTGTGCATATGAAAGTAGGCACCCAAATTGAATGCACAGAGGGGTTTATGTGCGCAGAATGTCAGTTGCATGTGCAAAATCTGGTGAACAGAAATGAGTAGAATGTAGCCCAATCCAGTTCCCTTGGAGGCTGGTTCATCGTCCACATGATCCGCAGAGATGATACTGATACTGTGCACGAAACGTATTGAAGGCTGACTAAGAAAAAACATCCTACAAAGGAAAGAGATGTTACACGTGCATGACCCTCATAAAACACTCGCCCATAACCTTTCTTCTACACCTGCCACACCAGCACTGGCACCGACATTTCCCCACCAGAGTCACCCACACCCAGAATCACCTCACTCATGCTATCCACATGCATCATGCACACTGGGCCAAACGTTCAGTCAGCCTCAAGCTGGCCTCCATTTGTCTTTGGCTGTGGCTACTATGAATGACGCTACTATGAATGAGGCACATTGGCATGGGAAGTTGGTGGGCAACCTTTCCCTTTTAGCCTGTAACTTCATTTTGTGCTATTGTTGCTATTAAGCTTATGCTCTTTTCAGCAGCTGAGGCCGTGGATATGTTTCTCCCCCCTATTTTTGCTCCTCTTGGAGCACAGAATCATTCTCTGTCTGAAGAATGGCATTCAGTAATTATTCTCTATGCTATCACCTGAGTGCTGTGGCACCAGCTGCTTCTTGGCCTTCTGGATGGAACCAAGCATAATATCAGTTCAGTATCTGGCATGTCCTCTGTCATAGTGTGGAATGGCCTATACTCTGTGACAGAGAGAGAGGAGACTGTGACGGGTTGTCAGGTGCTAGGATTCTGCACAGAGAGGCAGAGAGATTCTGCTGACTCACCATGGCAACCAGATCCAGTGGGTCCTATTAGTTTTAAATCAGGAGTATTAAGAGTTTGAGCCTTTTTTGAGGCTGAGCGCACTATGGGGAGAGGCAAGGGCAGAGAAGTCCTTCAGGGAGACCACCCTGGCGACATCTGTTAGGAGCAGGGTGGGAACACTGCCTGCTTACACAAACCTGTTAGATTGAGTCTAGCTACCCTGGTCCAGTTGATATTTCAGCCAGATAATGGGAAGATTTCAACAGCCTCAAGACCGAGGCTTGTGCAGGTCTTCTCCCACTGCCGTCTAATTGTGTATGCCATAGTCATCTATGCTACATCATGGGCTAAATTTTGGGTCCATTAGTTGGACTCACCATCTCATAGACTGAGTTAGCAGCAGCAGTCTCTGAGCACTGGTGTTGGTTAGAACAATCTCTGTGGGGTTCAGTTTGGAGGAGAGATGGGTGTGACTAATGGTGTAACCCCATGCAAATCCCAGCAGACGAGCATGATTAAGGCTCTGCAGAGAAGCTGGGAATAGCAAAACTGGGTGAATTGGACACTGCAAAGGACTCCAGATGGTTCATGAGTAGATAGGGACTGGTGAAGTACAAAGAACAGACCAACAGTAGCTAATGTTCACATTCAGGCGAAGAACATAACTCGGGCAACCAGATGTCCCGATTTTATAGGGACTGTCCCGATTTTTTGGGTCTTTTTCTTATATAGGCTCCTATTACCCCCCCACCCCATCCTGATTTTTCACACTTGCTGTCTGGTCACCCTAAACATACCACAGCTGCCTTCACCTTTGAGACACAACGAGAGAGAGAGAGAGATAACATGGCTACTCTCTCTGCTTTTCCAAGCCCATGTGAGAAGACTTCAAGGCTGCCAAGTAATTGGTTGAAATGTCTTGTAGTGACCTGTCACCCTAGATCAGCACTTCAGAGTTCAGCCAAATATCCTATTAGCTGGTTTCAACTGACTGATTTATTGACGCAAATAGATTAACACATTTCAGAAAAGGCCTAGTCACATTAGATGACTATCATCTGCCATGGTACTAGCTAGGATGGCAACCACAATAGGGCTCCCAGGGCTTAAGCGAACCACTAGCCGGGGCAGGAAAATATTCTCCCCCCATCATATGCTATTGCTCTCTGGGGATTTGTACCTTCCTCTGAAGTGTCCCTCATTGGCCATTGTCAGAGACAGGGTGCTGGACTAGATGGACTGTTGATCTGTTCTGTATAGCGGAATTCCTTATGAAAATCTGGAGGGTTTCCTTCCCCACTCCCTAGGGGGCACTGGAGGCACACTGTGAAGTATGAAACTCTTCACATTGGTCTGATTTTTTTTTTTTTTTTGTCTCTTACGACTAGTCCCTAGTCCTTCTGAAGCAGCAGGCTTCCCTCACAACACTCACTTGCTCTGTGCGGCCAAAGCCAGCTAGGAAGGGAGGGTGAAGAAGACGAGCCCAGGAGGCCCCTGCAGCAGAGTATCAAAACCAGAGTGAGCAAGTATGCTGTTCTCTGGTCTCTTATCTGATGTAGTCTAGAGAGCAGACAGATAGGACGCTAGCAACCAGTATGATGGGAATGTGGGAGTGGACTGTACCAAGACAAAAAGAAACCTCCCCTCCACGATGAACCTTCATCTTTGAGATGCTGCCCCCACCCCCAACCTTCATTCCGGTCAGTGGGAGGATCCTCTTTCCCCCCACTCCTCAAATGAGATGAAAGGGTGCCCCACGTATGACACTTCAGGAGTTGGCTGAACCCTACAACATGATCTTCATAAAATTCTGATTCAAAGCATCAAAGCCTTTTCCTGACTGGTGAAAACCCTAAAAAATCCTGGAAGAACTGCCAAAGGCCAATGGAGCTGACTCCGTGAACTGCCTTTGGAACTGGGTTCAGTTATTTATGGAGGGCGGGGGAGGCGAGAACTTTCCAGATGGGCGGCTGAACCAAATATAGCAATGATAAAAATCAGTGCAGTCATGTGAAGGGAGAAAGAATGTCTGCACTGAAGGACTGCATCAGGCAACCAGTCCTTTGCCCCTGAAACGCCACTCAGTGGGGCTATTAATAATGAGATCATACAGCACCTTTCATCCCAATGTACTTTACAGCTTTGCTTACAGAAATTCCTTCATCTACTGCTGAAATGCAGCCACTACTGGGGAGGAACACAGCTGGTGTTCAACCATGCACAACAACACCATTCAACACTTTACGTCAGGAGGTGGGGAATAATACAATCTCCAGTTAAAACTGCAGGAGGAGATTAGTCACCAGGATATAACTAACCCCTCCCTCCCCCAAGTAAAACTAGAATAGCAGGGACTAACATCTCAACTGGTGAAAAGCACCATGGGATCTTTTATGGTCACACGTGATTTGGAACTTGTTGCCTTGTCTGAAAGGTAGCAGTATAGTGGCCTCCCAAACCATGCAGGGACTTGGAAGAGAGAGTCCACTTAATGAAATACTAATGTAATTTCCTGCAGGAGGTGGGTCTGCCTTCAAATAGTGAGTGATCCAGATGTATTGAGTATGTGAGCTCAGAGAAGGTCATTGCTCAAGGGGGGGCGAGGGTGTCTGCACCTGGTGAGGTCACATGGAATCTCTTGGATGAAATGCAAGGAGCCTGAAGAAATTCATTCCCATAAAGCAAAGGAACAGCATTCACAATGGATGGATCGCTATATGAATGGAGGTAAAACATTTGGATGGTTAGCTCAACCTTGATCCGGTGGGATTAATAATTTATGTAGCACTGTTGATGACCATGGTACTGCACAGTGATGGGTCAGTGTCAGAAGGATGAGGTCCCTTCTCCAAAGCAAAGATTGTCTAAAAACACAAGGGAAAAGAGAGAGTACAAAAAAGACAGAAGAGAGAGAGAGTGGGATGTGGCTATTAGAGCTTTGCATGCATT